GTCAACCAATAACAAACGTTAAAGTTGTAAACTCTAGGCTTTCTTCTCCGCTGCTGAAAAGTCGAAATCATTTATAGAAAATCTAATGATTAATTTTGTTGACATGGGGTTTGGTAGCGCTAACAAAATTTGTTGTCTTAAAAGACAGCTGGTTTCATGAATATTAAGTTCAGTTATACACATTCAAAATTGACTGGCCATAAAAAGACAAAGAAAAAGACCAAAAACAAAACAAAAAAGCAAATATAGTCTTTGTCAATAATTTTTTCCCTGTTCTTGCAGAAGTTATAGTTAACTTTCTTCACTTGCTTTTTATATTGATAGCTGGGTCATTTAAGATTACTGCGATTTATATACATAACAGAAAACAACAGAAAACCATTTCCACCACTATAACCAATTTCAATAGTACTACAACCAGTTACATTCACAATCATGTGATTGCTGAGGCAATTTGGGTCTAACTGCATAAATATGTACATTCCACCTGAAGAGCTCGATTAGAATCAAGTCTTTCTGGAGAAAAAGCATAAAAGCTGAAATGTGAATTTTGCAGCAACTACATCTTCATGCATATGTCATGTATGATGTCAGAAGACCCACAGTCTGTTTGGGAGAAAACTATGATATTAGAAACAGAAAAGCACAAGGCACAGGAACTCAAGACAAATGCTTGATTAAATAGGCAGCTGAGCAGTGAATGTCATGCCATTACTGTGTATCATGTACTTCACACATAAGCTAGTGCCATCTCTAGATTTACAGATTTCAATTTGGCATAAAAGCTCTGATTCTTGGGGATACTGCAACAGATATGCTAAGAATTTAATAGTACAGTATATTCTACTATTTCAGTCATCAAAGAGTTCAAAGCCTGTCTACAGGCCTGCTGTAGCATGACAAAAATAAGTAGTTACTCAGAGAAGGAAAGAGAGGGCAAGGCATGGAGTAACTTTAAAACAAGAGACAGAGTCCAGTACGGATTATGTTATTTGACAGCCCTGCAATGCCACGCAGAGGGGCTCTCTTCTTGTATCCGCTTCATTCTTTTCCCGAAGAACATCCACCAGCAGAGACCGATCAGAACACACACCACAGACTCAACGTAGTAACCGTCCAGTGTTGTCACACACGTGCCGCCCTCTCTGACACAGAGCTGAAGACAATATAAGAACAGATTCAAATTACAGGCATAGTTAAGCATCACCAATTAGCAAATGCCTGGAAATATGATTAAATTAAACACTTACCCCTGCTTCTTCAACCGAACCGCACGTCTGCTTGGGGGCTCCCTGGCACTCTTTAAAGGTGAGAGGGTCTACCAGCCATAGAGCTAGAGTAGAGGGCCAGTTCCCTCCTAGATTAGTCACAGTGTTCAGAAGGGTCATGTAGGTACCCCCTATCACAGGGTCACTGACCTTGGCATGAAAGGCCATGCAAGCAACATACATGCTGTATAGTGCCACCTAGTGGAGAAAGACATTTCACAATGAATAGAAGTACAGACACCAAAGAGTATGTTGATTTCAATCTAAATTATCAATTATTTAAATAAAATTTAGATATTATAAAAGGGCAGTAGTAACTAATTGCTTAGTTCTTTTAATGCTTAATCATTTAATATTATTAATTTGTATTATATATATA